ATCGAACCTGGGTTCTCTCACTTGTGAGGTGAGTGCACTAAACCAATATGCTACAGGACTAAGTATGTGCATATTGTATTCACCCCCAGCTCCGTTTGCAATGGAGAAATCCACAGTGTTCAACCAAATGCATTGAATTTCTGGATTTCGACCTGCTGCTGCTGCTGGGGAAGGTTTGAGATATTCTTGTTTACTTAAAAAGTCAGTTTTTTATTTCACATCAAATGAGATTAATCTAAAAGTGGCCAGTGCAATATGAAAGAGGCTTGTCATTCTACCTCAGCACTGGGGGATTTCTGTTACGGTCTCTATCTCTCTCTCCTGACATTAGTTTTGTGGTAATTTATTTTAAAAAATGTTTTTCATTAACATAATTTAAAATAATCGTAATTACAAAATTAAGATGTAAATTAGCTGAGATTAATTATTGCACATGCTCCACAATGCAATAAAATGCTGAAAGCATGTTGGTTTTGTTTCAATCGATGGAAGTTGTTTTAGAATACCAACTACTTCACCTTCGAGAATAAATAAACTAATCTAATTCATTTTAATATAGGTTTATTTAAAGCTAGTGCCACAAGAATGGTTTTCAAGAATGGAATTCCATTCCCCAGTCACTCCGCCTCGCCCCCTCCTTAGCCTCCTTCAAGTCCCGCCTCAAGACCCTCCTCTTCGACCATGCCATCGGTTACCCCCCTTCCCCTCCCTTCTCCCCCGTGACCCCAGCTCGGGTCTGAAATGCTGTACACTGTCCAGCGCCTTGGGTCGTCCTCCCACATGAAAGGCGCTATACAAATGTAATCTTCTTCTTGTTTTGGGACCCTTTTGACTTGTCTGAAAGAATATAGCAGTACTGCTTCTGCAGTATCCTTGTAGTCACTTGCACGAACGAAAGGACTTATTTAAATTGGTGCAACTATGCAGAGATTCATTGTTCTAGAGAACAGTATAGAAACCATGCAACATAATCAAAATTGGCTATTTCCTAGAGAGCCGACCAGTCCAGCTCAGGAGATGGGTATAATCAATATTGCTCTTTTCGTTTAGATAATCGTTTGGTGTATACAATCCCATCTGCCTGTTCAGCTTGAAATTAACGATCCTACTGTTTGACAAGAGAAGGGAGTTTCTCATGGTGTGCTGACCAACAATCCTCCAGATACAATAATAATCCTTGCATTTGATATAGCGCCTTATCACGTCTTCGAGATGTCTCAAAGCATTTCACAAAATATACTGTAAAGTGAATTGACTGTATATATTTTGTTGGCGAAGTGCGGCAGCCAATTGCGCACATCATTAACACACTATATCAAATACAATGATTATTATTTTTTATTACAATAGCACCAACTTGCTTGGAGTCCTGTAGCTCAGTCGTTAGAGCACTCACCTTGCAAGCGAGAAACCTCGGTTCAATTCCCAGCAGAGTTAAATGTTGGGCATGTTTCCTTAGTCCATATAGCTCTGATTACCTCGTAGTAAGTAGGAACCTGGTTTTTAGTCGATTGGCGGATTGCTTTTTCAGGGTAATAATTCCTTTACAATTTTTTAAAAAAATATAATAATTTGGCCACTCAATCCACAACTGTTTGTGGGACACTACTGTGTGCCATTGGCTGCCGCGTTTCGGCCACAGAATAGTCAATTCACTTTACCGTATATTCTGTGAAGTGGTTTGAGAAGACTCAAAGACTTGATAAGGCTTAATATCAAATGCAAGGATTATTATTATTATAATTATTGATTTTCTAATGCTTTTGTAATAAATCTTCCAGTTCCTATTAGAAATGTGCTGTTCTATTACTCCATTCATCTTTTTGGTTAACGTTTAATTGCCTTTTATATGTGCGTTCCTAGTCTTCATTACTGTTTTAAATCAAACATAAATTACACATTCTGTGGAACTAATATATTAAAAAATGCATTCAGTGAAATTGTTTGCTAGATTGGCCAGAAACCGTTCCTTATGTCATAGTTTGCCAATCTTGAAGGCTGAACAATGAAACAAAGCGCACTGAATATGATGCTTTGAGAAAGTGCTGACTGGAATATAAATAATACAAGATGAGTGATGAATAACTAACACTTGCAAAATGTTCTTTATATTACAGTGAGTGTTTGCTCATCTAACTTCTTTGCAATATTGCTGTATTTCCTCTTCAAACACAATCCCTTTCTGTGGGAGTTGATGGAAAACAATCAATTTAAATCCAGTAAAAATAAATACCTTCACATAAAAGGATGGCAGGCGATAGATTCAGATTAATTTGGTAAAACACATATTACCATTCATTGGAGTATGCTTGTATATTATATACTGAAATGCAGCATCCTCCCATTCTTTAATAATGTACTGTAATGTTACAGTGCATTACAGTGCAATGTTACAGTACATTTTTAAAGAACTTTTGCTATTGTCTGTAAATTTTAAACATATTTCTGAAATATATAGACTTAAAGTGTATTATTAAAACTAGGTCAGCAATTATAATACCCACAAGAATAATTCAGTGACTCCCCTGTCACACTGGTGGTAATATGTGTGTTTGGATATTATCCACTGCAATCTGTGGAAATGTAATACATTTCATACAAACTGGTGAAATAATAGATCCATTTTGTATCCAGTGGATGACCAATATTAATTGCCCACACTTGTGAAGCTAAGCTTTAGTATATCAACAAAAAAAGCAAACTTGTTTATTAACCTATTTTCACAGTATATGTAACATAATAATACAAATAATAATCCTTGCATTTGGTGTAGTGTATTTCGTGTCAGGAGAATTCTGAAAGTGTTTTACAGCATATACAGCAAAGTGTAGTGACTATTGTCTAGATGACATCTCTCTTTTTGAAAAATAAGTATAACAAAACATCTAGTTTTACCAAAAAATAATACACAGAGCTGTTTAGGAAAATGTTTAAAGTGGGGGAAAACATTTTTATCTCTCTCTTTCAAATTCTTGTAACATTTAGTTGCATTATTTTCATTAGAAGATAGCTGTGATCAAATAACTGCTAAGTAATTTTAAAAAAAGACCTGAATTAAGTTTTTAGATCATAATTTGGTTATCTTAATATAATTGAAGGGTTAAGTATTGATAGACTGCTTCACTCACTGGAAGACCTGAGTTTGAACCCAGCCGTAACTGACATTAGCACTCAAGATGTAAAGCTTCACCAATAACTGTCCTTTACCCTTTCAACCAATCATTGGGGGATCCAAGAGGGATGGCTGTTAATGCCAGGAGATGGAGATTAAAGCCAGAAAATCACTATAGGGAATTGAAGAGGGAACGTTACCACTGATGCTCTGATATCTCTTCCAGCAGGGGATATGGCTTTGTGATTTGTTGATTACGCCGCAATTATTTTCGACTATTCATCCAATTCTGCAAGATTCAGTACAATGAGCATTTTAACATCTTTGATAAATCTTTAAGAGATGGAACAGATTATCATTGATTTCTGAAAAAGGGAATGGCATGAGGCCACTGTATAGTGCTAATGAAACCTTACTACCAGAATTGAAAGATCGATGAGGCAGAAGCTTGCATCAGGCATTCACTAATACTGTAGTGGCTCAGTCACTAGCTGAGGATCCAGTTAGTAAATGATAGTACTTGGCTACTGGCGGGAATCTCAGTCTTCTCCTGGGACTTTAAAGGGTGAAATCCCTATGTTGGCTGTTGCGTACTGATGGTTACTCCTAGGATTCCCCATCAGTCACTTTAAGATAATAAATTGGTGAAGATAACAACAGGGTGCTGGAAATAAAGGAAATGGGTGGGCAATTACACTGGGAAGAACTGAGGATCTTCTTGCTGGTTTGAAAATGGTTACTAATTTGCTTTGTTAATGCTTCATTCAGAAATAAGAGAACATTTTTTATTATAAGTTCTGCAACTTTTGGGTGTGAATCTAATCTCCAAAGCACTCACACCTCAGTCAAGGTTTACATGCTTCTGCTTACCAGAAGGAATCCCCCTCTGAAGAACTGTTTTTGAAAAAAAATGTTTAAGTTCTGTTAGAAATTGCTACTTATTAGACCCCACTGTCAAGTTCAGCCCAGCAACAAAAATGTAGCAGAAGCTTACTCATCTCTGAGCTGATTTTAAAAGCCTTCTCCTTTAAACACTGATCTATTAAAACTTCATGAACATCCTGCTATTTGCAGTTGATTCCTGGTTTACCTGAATCCTGGATGCTGTATGTTTCCTGACTTGTTTATGTTTGGAAGTTATGTAATAACATCACAAGATAAGGCCCAACCTCCCTTTGAAACACCAACGACTATAATAATACTAATATATGCATTAGGTATAGCGCCTTTCACGTTGGGAGGACCTCCCAAAGCGCTTCACAGGATTTGCTGTGAAACGGAGAGACTATATTTTGTAGGCAAGTCAGGCAGCGAGTTTGTACATAGCAATAATTATATAATAATCCTTGCATTTAATACAGTGCCTTATCATATTGTCGAGACATCTCAAAGCGCTTCACAGAATATACTGTAAATTGGCTTGACTGTCTATTTTGTGGGTGAACCGTGGCAGTCAGTTTGTGCAACGGAATGTCCTAAAAACAGTGATGGAGTGAGTGATTATTATTTGGGGGGTTGTTGGCCAGGACATTGGGAGAAACTCCCCACATCCCTCAAGCAAGTCTCTTACTAGAAAAAACAAGGTTTCTTGTGTCAATGTACCTTGTGTTTTTTTAAAGACTTTCCTCTGTGGTGACTGACTTGAGGAGACTCTCCTTAATGTAAAGTGAATTTCACCTTATTCCTTAAAGGACGTGGTTTGCATTTCATTACCCCATTTGTGTTTCACATCTATGAGAAAAAGCTATATTTTTCACTTTTCATGAGAGTGGGTAGCAATCTTTACTCTTATTGCACAGTTAGCAGGAATATTTTGAACATAACCCTTTGTTTAAAACCATTATTAGTGAAAATAAGTTTTAAATGATTTGCTTTCCTTCTCTCTCAGGGTGTTTTGAGTGCTGTATCAAGTGTCTCGGAGGCATTCCGTATGCATCCCTGATTGCCACCATCCTCCTGTATGCTGGTGTGGCACTCTTCTGTGGCTGTGGCCATGAAGCTCTGTCTGGAACTGTCACAATTCTGCAGAACTACTTTGAGGTGGTCAGAGGTGCTGGTGACACCATAGATGTCTTCACTATGTAAGTAATTCCTGGCTACTGTTTTGAAATAAGAATCCAGTTTATATGTTTGATGTTGGCTGGAGATTTGATTGTACAAAATATGGTCGTCTGTTTCCAATACACCGTGTCAGTTTAGCTCAGACAGTATTCTATTTAAAAAGGTTGTGGGTCGGTGCTCCTCCACGGCTTGAGTTTATAATCTAAAGTGAAGCGCCAACATGATACTGAAGCATACTCTATTACTGGAGGTGTCATCCTTAAGATGAGTCAGTATTGAAGATACTGAAGGACATTGATATTGATATTGAAGGACATTGAAGATCCTATAATATTGCTTCTATAGTCCTGATCAGTGTTCCTCCATCTTTCATCATCCAAATTCTCCCTCCCTCACCCCCCCGCCCCCACAGAAAAAAAATCTGTGATACCGCCCATTGTTGATGTAAAGTACTTTAGTTGCTTTGGTTGTCTAAGTAATTGCATGTTGCTTCACTGAAGCAGCTACGATTAAATTATAATGGAACATTCACAATTGAAAGTAACAGATTTGAGTGAAGGACAGTGTTGGAAATCAAAGCTGTGACTTCTAGACCTGAATGAGTGTTCTTCTCTTACTGCTTTAATACTGGGGGCCCGGATTCAATACAAAGTGCAAAAAACATTCAATAGGGCAAGTTTACTTTTCTAAAGAATGAACCAATGAGGAAGTGTTAGCGTGTTTCAGGGCTGCTTCTTTTACTTCATTTGGAGCTGATTAACAGTCCTTGTAATTGATATAGGGCCTTTCACATTGGGAAGGATCTCAAAGCGCTTCACAGGATTTATTATAAAGTATAGTTACTGTGTATTTTGTAGGCAAATGTGACAGTGAATTAACACACAGCAATATCCCACAAACAGTCATGAAGTTAATGACCAATTTTATCTGGGGGATTGTTGGCCACGACATCCTCACTTTTCAAATAGGGCCATAGGTTCTTTCATGTCAATCTAAATAAGCAGACAGGACCCTATCTGAAGGATAGCACCTCTGAATGCAGTGTCTCTCTCAGTACTGCTCTGCATGTCAGCCTACAGACTATGAAGTTAAACTCCTGACACAGGGGCAATATGAGCGAAAAATAAGACTGCCCTCAAACCACAGAATGCTGGGATAGCCAGCTGTTACAGTGCTTGAAGACAATGCTGTGGATGAATATAACTGCTCATTGCTACAGAAGTGGAGAGATTAGATCATTGCGTTTCTCATGAACAGGAACATCTTTCATCAAATCAGAATTTAAGTGGCTTCTCTCATCAGATCTAGTGTGCGAATTGAAACATGCCTGTCTGATAATCTAGTGCTTAGATCCTTGGTTAATCAGACATCTTGTTCAAGATACCCTTTTCCCCCATATTTCCTGGTGTTTGTTTTCCTGCATAATATGATAAATACAAACAATACTATTACCGATACTACTACTAATAATGGTATTAATCCTTGCATTTGATGTAGTGCCTTTCACGTCTAGAGGACATCTCAAAGTGCATTGCAGGATACACTTGTAGGCAAACAAGTGAAAATATACAGAGCACATATATATTTACACAATTTTTATTTATGAAATGTGCTTGGATAAAATGCTGCAAATGGATTTTGTCAACTTTACTGAAACCATTTGAATGAAGGAAAGAAGTGCTGATACATGGATTAAGTTCTCTGGTTATTTTGGATCAATATATGGCTTGGTACTGATAATCTCTTTTGTTTGCCTCCCTTATTTTTAGAAGACATTATTTCACTTCTCTGCATAAGTGAACAGTTCTCATTTAATACGCTGTTTTTTTCTGACAGTGGAGACGCAAGTCTATAAACTGTATGGGCTTGAATTGGACAGAATTTGGATGCCGTCTAATTTGAGCTGTTCACAAAATATCTGTCTATTTGGCATCCAGTGCCTTTGGACGTCCTTCTGAGGTGAAAGGCACATGCAATTTGGTTTTGTATTTCCATGAGGTGGGTAGTGTGAAAAAAGGAAAGGGGAGAAAGAGAGCATTATAGGCAGTATATTAAAGAAATCTTAAAGTATATACTGTACCAAAACGACACAAAGAGAAATTTCTCTCTAAACCACTAGCTTAGATGTGCATGGGTTGATCATCTATAGTAATTTTGCCATGACTCTTAAAATCTGCTCCTGCAGGATTGATATCTTCAAGTATGTCATCTATGGAGTGGCAGCTGCCTTCTTTGTCTATGGCATTCTGTTGATGGTTGAGGGATTTTTCACAACTGGTGCCATTAAGGATCTCTATGGAGATTTCAAAATCACCACCTGTGGCCGATGTGTTAGTGGCTGGGTAAGTCATGTCTTTGCATGTTTTCTTTTAGCATACATAAGAATTATGTTGCACAACTTAATTTAGTTGAATTTGAAGGGCTTGAATTAGATTATTTCTCAGCCACTGCTTGAAAGGAAATGCAGGAATGCAGGAAGCTATCAGCTTGAACGGAAAATTGGGATTCTATGAGTATCCTTGGAGAGAATCCTGATCACTATCTTTCTTCTTTCTCTTTGCCTGCTTCTTTCCTCTCGCCACCCCAATCCCCCATTCCCTTCCCCCAAGTCTTTGGATAGACTGCTATTGCTCAGGCTTGCTTATTGGAAGGCACTTGGTGCCTGTGGAAAACCTACTTCAATGTGAGTCGGTGCCTTTTGGAAAGGAGGAAATGCCACAAAACACATCAATCAAATGCTGTTTTAACTGACTTGAAAAATGATATCTCCATCATCAACTAATCTGATTTTTTTCTAGTTGGCAGCAGTGATATAAAACACTTGAATTATTCATTCCTTTCCCGAACAGACCCCGCTGTAGATCTACTGTCTGAGTTTAGGAACCGCTGGGTTGGCAATTGCAAGAAACCAGCTTATTGCTCGCCTGCCCCCTTCTCTTGTTGGTGCTCCCATCATTTCAGGCAAGAACAGTCAAATACTGGATATTCGTGCTGGGCTAGCTGAAGCCCTGTTACCCTTCTATTACACTTCAACCAGCATGCAGACCCTGCTCACTTACAATAAAATAAAACACAAAAATTTGAGGAGATCCAATCACTCTCTGGTCTCAGCTGGTATGCCACTGAGCATGACAGCCCTCAGACACAAGAGGTGTATGTTTCTGAAACATTGGAGCATAAAGCAAATTTGCTAAATGGGTGATGGCAGATTATTTTCTGGCCCTGCCAGAATGAAGCTCACACCAGCCACCAGGGAACGTCACAGGCAGCATTACCTAATAGCTGTCTGGTATTAAATCTTGTGTCATTAGTAAGTTACACCCTGGTCAGATGCATAGTCGGTCAACTATATACTGTGCTAACACTACTTTTAAAAGAGCAGCTTTCGTCAATAATCATTGAAGCTGTTGACCTGGATTAACTCATGCTATAGATAGTACTGAGCAAACAATAATTACAGAGTATCTACAGTACCTCAGTATAAATGAAACATTTTAAAAAGGGCATCTTATTTTTGCTTTATCATCAATTAAAAGAAGAACTGCACTGTTACTATCAATATACCTGTTGGCCTGGAGTAATTCTTCACCATGCGTTCGATACCAGAATCATATACATGTACTGAATTTCTTCCTATTTAATGAAATCATTTATGTTCTGACAGATATAGTGATGATTGTGGGACGAGACTCTGATATATTCCTCCCAATCATTTACAGTTGATTCCTGTTGTGTGCAATTTGGTAACATAGATGAATAATGTAAGTAGAACCCTGCAGTGTAGTAACACATGTGAATTGATCACCAGCAAGACATCAGGGTGTAAGCTAACTAGGATTCAGGCTTAGACCCCTCATGTTTCATGCAATCACTTGCTCAGAGATTCTAAGTTTAAACTGAGGTTTCAGCACAAGGTCTGAGGTGCTTCTCAGAACAACTCTGAATCCATTTAGAACAGCTTATCTCATGATGCTTAGTCTTCCAAATGTATTTAGGAACAAACAAAATTAGCGAGCAATTCCATTGGACTGGACGAGGGTTTGCAATTGGGTGACTGGTGAGAGCTCCTTCTAGAGGAACTGTTTCAGATGGTCTGTGGTTAGTGAAATAGGCTTCCAAGTAACCTGTAAGAGCCTAGGTGGAACCTCACTGAGATGTTGCCATTATACAAAACCTGATCATTACAGCCCCTCAGTGCACAATCTTATTGAGGAATACTGGTCACTAGTATTGGTGCTGCTCCAGGTATTGGATCTCTGGAAATCCTTTCCTCTTTTTTAAGATTCTGCACCTCAGCCTTATGAAATGTTTACAATAAACAACTGATGGGCATGATTTGGATTCTAACTCTTCCAAAAAGTACTAGTGGCTAAGCGCAAGGCCAGTGATTGGGAGTGTTTGCAAGAAAAATGTTTCGGGTAATGCAGACACTATTAATGTGTGAATTTAATATTTTTTAACATAATAAATTTACATTTCATAATAAATTTCAAATCATATTTGCTGACTCTCTTCCCCCTTCTCGCTCCCTCCCTCCCATCCCTCCCCTCACCCTGACCATTTCCCCCCTCCTCGCTCCCTCCCCTCACCCTGACCATTTACCCCCTGCTCGGGTCATGACCCAACTGTGCAGTGCCTTGGGACGTCCTCCTGACGTGAAAGGCGCTTTATAAATGGAATCTTGTTGTTGTTGTTGTAGTGACCTTACCAGGGCAGTTTCCGTGCTATGGACACATAACTATGTCTGACACATGAATAAACTCATCACTATGCTTAAGAGTATCCAAATCAGACTGAGAATTGCGTCTATATATGCCATCTACACATAGAAATTTCTCTGTGTCTGGACTGAAATTCACACTAGCTCACTCGAGGGATGCAACTGCTTACTTAATTTGAGTAACAGGCAATAGCCAAGCTGTGGTAATTAAGTAATTCCAAAGCTTGGGGACCCCAGAGTGTGTGTTGAGGTACTGGTGGAATTCATCCAGATAAAGCCACATAGATTGCCATTGAGAACAGTCTCTGGCAAGCTTCCTGCTGCTTATTCATAAAGGACCACCTTATTCACTGGGGCTTTGGCTTGCAATACTAACTGGCTCCAACTTAGAACTCCTTATCCTGGTGACTGGTCTGCTCCTCCAAGTCCTGCCAACGAGTCAGGCTGGCTGGTCCCTCAACAGCAGTGCCCTGGAGGACTGTGGATCAGTTTGGCTCAGGAACTGGGCTGCCAAGACTGACACAGAGGGTGAACTCGATTTTGGCATTCTGTTGCTAAGCACACCTTCAAGGAGACCCATCTTGCCTCCCTCCCAAGGAGGATAGCAAGCATTGACTCTTATCTGCTGTGACACCATACTGCCGTTTATCTATCAACTAACCTTGAGTAAATAGATGCAGAATTTATTATGAAAAAATCACTCTTGAGATCCTGCCTATTTTAAAATAAAAAAATGTGTTTCCCCAGCCTGAATTGTTTCATCTGCTGCTGTGCTTTAGCTTAAAGTGACTAAAAGATTTCCAAAGGAACAATGATTGAATAAATGGTGCGTTTCTACAAAGGTGAAAGATTGAATTGAGCAAGCACTTGTGAGACCTAATGTTTAATATTCCAGTTAGTGATGCACTTGGGCAAGCTGAGGTAGCATCACATGCTTGAAAATGAGTTGTGTGTTTTTGTAATGAAGCTTTCTAAACTTCTTTTGTGTTGCTTTACCGAACACAGTTCATTATGCTGACCTACATCTTCATGCTGGCGTGGCTGGGGGTCACAGCCTTCACCTCTCTGCCTGTTTTCATGTACTTCAACATCTGGACTGTTTGCCAGAATGTGACCATCATGGAGTCGTCCAATCTCTGCCTTGATCTCCGTCAGTTTGGTAGGCAGTGTTTATGATGATTTTTCTTTCTCTTTTCTACCCCATTTCCCACTCACAACTAAACCACTTTGTATAATTCTCAGGTCTGTGCGTGTTTGCTTTGGCAAAGAGTATTTTAAATACAGCACAATTCTATAAAATACAGTGTATGCATGCCTTTCTTGTGGGTAGGGCTTCTCAAAGTGCTTCCTTGACTGAGCATTCAACCTGAGGAGGTTGGGGGAAGGTGATAAAATGTGGTCAAAAATGTAACTCTTAAGGTGAACTTTAAAAATGGGAAATGAGGGGACAACGTGGAGGAAGGACTTGGAGTTTCTCAGAATGGAGGCAGATTAGCTGAAGCTCACTCACTCTGTTTGGGCGGAATGAGAGGGGTGACATGAAGCAGGCTTATGCTCATGGAGGGAGTGGTGGGACCAGTTGGGGCACTACTGCTGCAGGAGGTCATAGAGTTGTGATGTGGAGACACTGGGATTTAAACTTGTGGGTGAAGATCTTGAATTTGATTTGCTGGGGCATGGGGAGCCAGTGAAGTTCAGCAAGGATGGAATGATGAGTTTGTGGAGCCTGGTGTGGATACAAACTGCAGAGTTCTTGATGGTCTGCAACTTGTGTATGGAGGAACTGGGGAATCCAGCAAGCAGACCGTTGGAATAATCAAGCCTGGATGTGATAAAGGCATGAATGAGGGTCTTGGGGAGATGGAGGTATGTAAGAGGTAATGGTGGAGATGGGCAAGGTTGCAATTTTATGTTGTGGCAAATTTATTTCTCCTTGTTTCTGCTGAAATTATAAGTTTCTAATCAATGTTGATTGTATGGGTTAGCATCCACAGATGGCTCGGGTGAAAAGGGGATCAGACCCACCCCTCCCAATGTATCTACAGTTCACCTCTTTAATGGGTGCTAGGAGGGGGAAGTGCTGAGCCCTGAGGAGGACCACTGCCAGTCCTCTGAGCAGCCCCAACCCACGGGTTCCTCGTGCCCCTCACCCAACAGAACCCCTTACTCAGACCGCCCTCTCCCCCACCCCCCACCCCTGAGCAAAACAAATATTTTCACCCGCCTGATAAATTTAATTTTTGGAGTGTGTGAGATATGTGCTGATCCCTGAATTGAATCAATTCAGATTTTCCAAATCGTTCCACTTGTAAAGCCATGTTTTTCGTCAATTCCCCCTCGTCATCTTTCCTATCTATTACTGGGTTGCTTTCTCTTCGTGGGGAATAAAATTATTTAGTTTTTTTTACTTTCTTCCCCACCCTCCCCCCCACCCGAAAACAATTAGGTTTCAACTTGCAACATAACCTTTTGCAAATAATTTCTGAATTTTAATTTAATTTTAACAAAAAAAAGTCTTAGGTTGGCTTATGAAATTCTTCTTCGAAAAGTACTCAGCAAATGTATATCTCTTTCAGGTATTGTGACTATTGGCGAGGAGAAGAAGATATGTTCCATGAGTGAGAACTTCAGCAAGATGTGTGAATCCAATGATGTAGGTTCAATTCTAGACTTGTGTTTACGTTTGTTTAAAATAAATAGGCACACTGAGCAGAGAAGGATACTAATAGGCCCATTAATAATAATCATAGAATTTTACAGCACAGAAGGAAGTCATTTGGCCCATTGTGTCTGTACCGGCTCTTTAAAAGAACTACCCAGTCAGTCCCACTCCCCCACTCTTACCCCATAGCCCTACACATTTTTCCTTTTCAAGTACCTATCCAATTGCCTCTGAAAACTACTAGCAAATTTGCTTCCACCAACCTTTCAGGCAGTGCATTCCAGATCTATAATAATAATAATCCTTACATTTGATATAGCACCTTATCACGTCGTTGAGACATCTCAAAGGACTTCACAGAATATATTGTAATGTGGATTGACTGTATATTTTGTGGGTGAAATTAATGCTACTGTCAAAGTGATGCTAAAGTACATTATAAATCTACTTATTGGGGCATCAATTTTGTTCCAATTCGCACCAGAAACCATTTCCAAGAAATAGTCTTGAAATGGATTTGATACCATTAGCTGTTATGTAGAGTGGTTGGTCAGCTACACTACACTGTCTTACTGCGCTTTAGAGGTTCAAAAGGGGAAATTGTTTTGTATTTGCGAAGAATCGTTATTGGTGATTTTGCCATCTGCTTCTCACATTGATGTGATAGTTCTGTTCATTGCTCAATTACATGCTGGTATTTTTGTGGACTTGACATTCGGCCTCTTTATCATTGGGATTCAGAAGGTTAGACATCACAGGGAAGGGGAGGGGAGGAAAGAAGAGAGTGATCTGGATTCTTCCTATTTGTTTCTGATAACTAATTCAGTGGTATACTGGCCAGTTTTCCTAGCTGAACTAATACTGGGAAGCTTACCAATAACTTACAAAGTTTTACAAAGAATGTATAGCACAGAAACAGACCACTTGGCCTAACCAGTCTGCGCTGATATTTACACTCCACACGAGTCTCAACCCATCCACACTGCCGCCCATATCCTTTTATTTCCCTCTCTCCTTCTAGCTCCTCTTGAATGTATCCACACTATCTGATTCAACCACTGCTTCAGGCAGTGAGTTTCACAATCTCACTACGCTTTGTGTGAAGTGGTTCTTCCCAATTATCCTGTAAGATTATAACTAGTTTATCCTAAAGGTTCACCAGTGCCTACGTTTGGGACCCTAATGTCTTGTGTCCGGCCAAGTGAGTGAAAATGACTGTTCTCTTGTTTTTCTCTCTTGTAGCTGAACATGACGTTCCATTTGTTCATTGTGGCTCTTGCTGGAGCTGGTGCTGCAGTCATTGCTATGGTAAGTTTGGAACCAAAATCTGCCTGAGTGCTGAGGAACTCACATAGCTGCAAGGATGGGGATACCCAGCACACTGATGATTACAATGAAAATGTCTCACCCTCGTAGTGTGATGTGCTCCTATAAAAATGAATGTAACATGTATTTCTGATGCAGTAAGGTCAATAAGAGGAGTTATCAAACAACTGCAGTTAGTTTCCAGGAGTTGCATGTGGCTCCCCATTAACTGGAAAATAACTCATAGATTTTTGACTGTGTCAAAAATGATGCATTGCTCTTCATTATATGCGTATTACACTACAGTATAATAACATTCAACTCAATTAAGCTGTGATTAATACAGTGCTGTAAAATGTAATCTCAGCAGCATAGATACACCTTAATTCAGTTCTTATTTTTAAAACGCCAATATAGCTCAAAGCTGCACTGTCGCACATATATTACATTTTGTTCAAGAGGTTATTAATGGGAAACTGTGCTGCTGGTGTGAGAGCCGTTGAAGAACAACACGGCTTTGTGTAACATGGCTGAAAATCGATAATCACTCTTCTTTTTGGAAAAGAAATTCTAATGCAAACATATTGTAAAGAGATAATTGCCACAGGAGAGCATGTGTTTTTACACAAAAAAAATCAGGTTACGGTATTTTTAAAAGTTCTGTTCAAGCACTAGATAAAATGTGTTACAATAATCCAAACATTCATACTCATGCAATCAGTTGTATCAATTTATCGTATTGCATTCCTGGCCAAGACAGGTTGCATTTGTAATGGTTATAGTATAGTAAAATGTGAAGGAAATTATATTTTAGATTTGTAAAAAGAATAGCTGAGGGAATTGAACTGTTTTGGATGGCCCTGCCAGGTGATGCCTGGAATTTGTTTCACACACTGGGACCCACACTGCAAAAAGAATAATGCTTGCATTTGGCAAAACACCTTTCACATCAGGAGGACGCCTCGAGACGCTAGTCAGGAGCTTCGCAGGATATGCTGTAAACTGTAACTTAAAAACTCAACTTATTTTTCAGCCAAGTATTGAATGGTGTGTGAAATGCTGCAGCTGACCTTTGTTGCCAAGTTCTGGTTTTGAGTGGCAAAAACATAAGGGAAGCAGAGTTGGCACACCAGCTGTGTATCACTTAAATCTGTGCTGCCTAGAAAATGTTGTGTATCCTCTACATAAGCGCTGAATGGCTGCTGTATTTTTCTTCCTCTCCTAAGGCATCTTTAGATCTTGCGTATGACGCAAATTATAATTGTTGCATAGCTGAGGAACAGTCCAGCTTGAAACAGTCAAGTGCAGTGTTTTTTGTGGCACTGTTTCTTTTTGTCATAACAACAGCTGAATGGAGATTTAATTTGTTCTAATGAAACTGCTACAGGTTTACTGACTACAACTCGTGTGTGAGTTGTAATTGCTGAAGTACACAAGTGGCCTCAGCTATCTGCTTGGAAATTTTATATCAGTAAACTAATCTCTATTGCCAGATGCTCTCTCCTTACAAATATATGGCATTTTCACAATGGGCTGCATGGTGCTTCATATTTCATACAGAGCACGCAGGCTGTCACTGACCCCAATCCAAAATGATTTACATTAGTTCCACTTCTGTGATTGTTTGGATCCCAAGACAAATGCCATTTTTTGTTTTTGGAGGGGTGGGTAGGGGTCACACTTATATTTTTATTTTCTGCTCGCCCTTCAATTGCTTTTCCCTCAATACAGTTCACCTTCCCCAATATTTTGCATTCATACACACGTTTATGTGTAATAGTATACAAGTGTATATATAGATAAACATGCACACACTTCATAGCAAAGCACAATGGGTGACTTGCTCTCAGGCTTCTGTCAATGCTGATCTTCAAGTGACTTCTTCGGACATCTTCAGAAGGGTGAGCTGATTTTTTTCTTCGCATTGCCCAACCATTCTTCATGTCTCAGCCATTCTTTTCGTGTCTCAACTCAGGTTGAATTTGAAAGGTGTCAAGTGGGGCAACATTGACACAAACCCTTTGTGTTGCTTCATGAGTCTCTGGAGTTTGCCATAAGAGCTACTCCTTTAAAAGCTAAATAGCCCTGTGATGTGGTAAAAAATGAATTAATTAATGTTTGATGAATGTATTTAGAAAATGCCAGATTTTTAATATTTTTGTGCTTGCGCCTCATAAAATGGGTCAAAGCAGGACAAATAGCAGTTTTCCTCCCCATGCTTCCAGTGAAGGATGCTGCCAGCTCCTGAATTTTTAACCCTAAACAGGAAACCGTTTTATGGGATGACAATTCCATTCAAGCAGGATATTGATTCTTCACTTGTGAACCACAAGCAACCATCATGTGCTTGCCTTGCCCTCATGAGAGAAAATCTCTGGCTCGTCAGCCACTTTGGCAAAAATTCAGATGTTGTTTATTATTGTTATGAATCGTCGACTGTATTTATAGCAATTTTGTGTTTTTAAAAATATATATAGTTCAGTTTAACCTTTTTAAAGAGAACTTTTTTTTTAATCTAACCTGTTATCCATCTGTTTTCACTAAAACAGGCCGCTTGCCTTATGACTTTGACATACAACATTGCTGCAAAGAAGGTTATCAGTCGGCAAAACTACTGCACAAAGCTGTAAAAGAGCAAGACATCTAAATGTTCATTTTAAAACAAAACAAGTCGCTGGACTTCCTGTAACGGCTTCCTAATATCAAAAAGAAAGCAGTCTGGTTCTCCTAATCCTTCCTACTAAATAAAGTACAAGAGAAACGATCAAATGCTGAATGTACCAATACGGTTGCACCTAGAGTGTTAAGTGCAGATTTGCTTCAACTGATTTCGTTCTGCCTAAAGTCGTCTTGTTTATACTATTAGAAGCACTCATTAGATTGCTCATAGAGCGTCTTCCCAACGTGAAAGGCGCTATACACATGTAATTTTGTTGTTGTTGTAGAGATAAATGATTTTGTAAGATAAACACCAGCACGGGCTGGTTGGGCTAAAAGGCCTGTTTTGGTGCTGTAGTGTCTACATGGGTGGGGGCAAATAAATTTATTGTACGCTGCAAAACGTGCAACAATTGATTCAGCAGTACAACAGAGAACTTGCATAGCAGCCTCTATATATTACAATGTGTACAGTTGTGAAATTTTCAGCAAGTAGGATGGTTTCCCTGTCCTGGAGTATTAGGAGATGATTTCAAGAAATTAATCTGTTTTCCCCCCTTTACTTGCACCCCATCAAATTTCACATTTAAGTTATAATGCCCTTCAAAATAGTTTTTATGTAATAATTATTAACATTTTTAAAATTCATCAGTAGGTTTATTCACTGGGTGCATTGTCGTTGAATCAAGATGCTGAACTTTAAGAGAACGAAAAGTAGATGATAAAGTTGACTAATGAAAGGAATTGTATGTGTTTAACATTTATCTTCCAGGTCATGAGAAGGGGGGACTTCAGTACATAGGAAAGGGTGCACATATGGGGAAAGGGGAGGGGAAGACAGCATTCAATGTTTGCACCATGAATTTCTTGCTTCTTTCACAGGTGTTTACGCAGTCTATGTATGTGACCAAACTGTGGTGTCATTTCTGTTATGTTTCTTCATTAATGGTGAAATATGGATGATGCAGGAATGGCTTTAATTCCTGCATTAGGCATTTTTCTGTTCAAACTTTAATTTGGGGGGGCAGGGGTGGGGTTACTTCCAGGAGCACGCAAACTGTGCCAAAGCAAGACTCAAGCTGGCAGAGAGCTTGTGTTATTGCTTGAATTCTTGAATAAAATCACACACAGCACAATAAATAAGAGGCATGCCCTACTGCAACAAGTACAGTATCCTTGAGGAAAATTAGGACGTTGAGATCTACTTTGCAGTGCATGCAAATCGGATGTTGTGCATTAATTACAACTTGTGTTGTGAAAATGTCAGCTGGTGAATCACAACTTCCAAACCAGCAAATTCTAGGTAGACAAAAATAAGGTCATGATCAAAAAATAGTCAACTGGTTCCTATCAGCATTTTGGTCATTTTTGGGAATTTGGCGAATTGGTTTGTCGTCAATCGACCAGAAGTTTCACCAATGGGAAAAGCTGTGCTGAACTGAATGCCCAGCTTGCAAATATCACAAGATTCCAGTATATATATCTACAATGACAGAAATATGCTTAAAGGGTTGACCACCATGTGGACAGCAACTTGTGGCACCTATAAACGGATTCAGGCATTTTACGTCTGTCCAGCCAACTTGATGATGACAGAAATCTGACCCATAAATGCTGCCAATTCTCCTGAAGCCCAAATAGCTTTTTTGAAATAAAAGACTGGAATTGTAAAAGAAAAAGAAAATGCTTGGCAGAGGGTAACTTTCCTCTTTCAGGTACAAGTATTTAATCTTTGTGTTGTGATCCTTTGCCAATGATACACCACTCATCATCATCTACTTGTGAGAAGAAGTCAAACCTGGTTGATAATCCTATTTTCTCTCTCAGTTGCTGATCAACCCTCTCTGTGTGTGTTCTGGCATTTAGCATTTGTAAAGCGAGCTGTTGTGCTTTTGGCTATTCGGGTTATTATACAGACCTAAGTAGTCACACCTTCAATAAACACAAAAGGGAAAGGCAGGATGGTACTGTTTGAAAACTACTTCCTCTACTAAACAAATAGTTATTTGTGTTTTTTTTAATTAATGCTCATAACCAGAGTGCGGTTCTACTGCATCAAGGTGCTTGATGTAAGATGGCTGTTCCCTGCTAATGGTACTGCCAGATTACATTTCTAAATTAATTTAATGAATCTTGCTGCAGGAGCAAAATCAATTAAAAATGTTTGCTTTTTGTGCCCACTGATGAAGAGAATACTCAAAAGACCTAAAATAATGATCCTAGCATTTAATATAGCACCTTACCACATCATCAAGACATCTCAAAGCGCTTCACGCGATATACTGTAAAGTGGACCGAGAGAGTATTCTGTGGGTGAAATGTCCACAATGCTTTTATTTTGTAAA